TGATAATAATAATGATGATGATGATGATGATGTAGCCTTGCCTTCCTATTGGGCGGGATAATTTATAAACCAAGACAGAGTTTTCCACCAGGTCCAGCGAAGGAGGGCTGATGTCGGCTAATGTAACACAGGAACTGGAGTCAGACGTACCTGGGGGAGACTGAGAGCTTGAGAGACGGAGGCCGGGGACCCCAGGCCCTGGAGCCAGCCGCGCCTGAAGCCACCCTCCTCTGGGTGTGCCTTGTCTTTTACTGCCACACGCACACGACAGAGTTCTCACTGACACACAGGAAAGCAAGCAGTGCTCTGAGGGCCAGAACTCAGTGAGGGCACGCTCACCCTCCTCTACCCTCAGGCCTCACCTGCTCCCATATCTCTTTTCAGAGGCCTCTCCAGACCCCCAGCATCGGTTAGCGTTTGGGTCAGAAGGGCCTTTTAAGACCTGGTCTTCTTACTGAACACTCGCAACAATTGCAATTATGTGGTCATGGCTTTAAAAAAAAAAAAAATGATTTCAGAGAGAGAAAAGGAGAGGGAGAGAGAGAGATAGAGACGTTCATAATGGGAGAGAAACATCAACGATGAGAAATCAACCTGGATCGGCTGCCTCCTGCACACCCCCACCCTGGGGATGCAGCCCACAGCCTGGGCCTGTGCCCCGACCAGGAATCAAACCGTGACCTCCTGGCTCCTAAGACAACCCCTGAGCCACGCTGGCTGGACAGTCGTGCCATTGTTTAATCCTTAGCACCTCACACGGTGGGTGATGGGTTGTAAATGCTGACAGCGAGGAATTGAGTGGAAACAAAACGAATGCAGCTAGAGCGAGCCAGAGGGGTTTCCTGGCCTGGGACAGTGACTCAGGCAGGATGGGCTGGATCCGGCTGCAAACCCTCCGAACCCAGGGCAGCGTGGTTTATTTCTCCCCCGGGCCCAGGTCCTGCTGGGGTCAGCGGGGACTCTGCCCAGGTTTCCTCCCTCCGGTTCAGGCGGATGGAGCCCCCGCCATCCGCCCTCCGAGTGTGGCTGGTGGCTGTGGCAGGCGTGAGGAGTGAGTGGGGTGAGTCACAGGCCGGCTGTTCACGTTCCCATCCCCGTCGGACGTGACACAGGTCACTCCCACCGCCCACTCATGGTCAGTGCACATCCCTCGGATACGCCTCCCTGCAGGAGGAGGGCGGGTGGCGGGGGGCTGGCCTGGGTGCCCGCAGCCTGGCGCTCCCCTGAGGAGTGAGATCTCCTTAGTAGGGGAAGGGGTGCGGGAGGGCTTTCTAGAAGAAGAACAAAGCCTGGCCAGAGATTCGGAGGTGAAGGCGTGAGGGGCGTATTCGAGGGAAAGCGGTGAGTAACGGGTGACTGGGTGGAGAGGAGTCTGGACACGTGCGAGGCCATCTCCACGGAAGGCCTTGGGGAACGTGGCGGCGGCAGGAGCCATGGCCGGCGGAGTGGGCAGGACCGGTGAGCGAGGTGGTTCAAGGTGGCAGCCGGGCAGGGATGGAGAGAACTGGAGAGGGCAGCGGAGGAAGGGGGGCAGCCGCTGGGGGCCAGGCCAAGGCCGGGGAGCAGGCCAGTAGGTAGGTGCCTCCGTGGCCGTGCTACACAGATTTGTTCAGCACATAGCAACCAGCCCCGCGGCGTGGCTCAGTGGTGGATCATCCACCTTTGAACCAGGAGGTCATGGTTCGATCCCCGGTCGTCAGGGCACAGGCCCAGGTGGCAGGCTCAATCCCCAGTGGGGGGCGTGCAGGAGGCAGCCGATCCATGATTCTCTCTCCTCATTGATGTTTCCCTCTCTCTCTCTCTCTCTCTCTCTCTCTCTCTCTCTCTCTCTCTCTCTCTCTCTCCCTCCCTCTCCCCCTTCCTCTCTGACATCAATAAAAATATTTAAAAACAAAACAAAACAAAACAAAAAAAACAGTCTGCTGGTTCCACTCACCACTTCTTCCGTGGATGCGCAGAGAGGTGGGGTACCCGCCCAAAGGACCACAGCCACCAGGTGCCGGCACCCATGTTCTTCCCCGGGCACTCCCACTGCCTCCTGCATCTCCCTCCGCCTGGCTCCTCACCCATTCCCAGGAAGAGGCTTGGGAATGGCTGATCCCCGGGGTCCTTTCAGTTCACACATCCACATGGTCTTAGGCAACCCGACAGCGGTTCTCAACCTGTGGGTTGAGACCTCTCTCACAGGGGTCGCCTAAGACCATTGGAAAACACAGATATTTACATTATGATTCATAACAGTAGCAAAATTACAGGTAGGGAGTAGCAACGAAAATAATGTTATGGTTGGGGGTCACCACAACATGAGGAACTGTATTAGGTCACGGCATTAGGAAGGTTGACAACCACTGCCATCGACTGAGCATCCTACTCCTGGGTGTGCCCCGAAGCCAGTCTTTCCCGGAGCAGCGCCTCACAACTCGGGCTGCCTGCGGATGAGGCGGGAGAGGCCACAGTCCACTGCAACAGGAAGAAGCCGGCTGGGCGGGGCTTAGGAGTGGGAGCGTGGGGTCCACGGGCACTTTTCCAAGCTGATTGGGACTCTGCAAGGGTCCCCTTTCACTTGGTTTTATTTTATTTTATTATTATTTTTTAATTTTCACCCAAGGATATTTTTCCATTGATTTTTAGAAAGAGGGGGAGAGAGAGAGAGAGAAACATTGATGTGAGAGAGACACATCGATTGGTTGCCTCCTGCAGGTGCCCCCAACCAGGGCTGGGGATCAAGCCTGCAACCAAGGTATGTGCCCTTGCCCAGAATCGAACCTGGAACCCTTTGGTCCACAGGCCAGCACTCTATCCACTGAGCCAAACGGGCTAAGGCCACCTGGTTTTAGAAAACTCTCCTTTACTGTTTTCTTTTCTCCTCCCTGTGCTCCTGGGACCACCCCTCCCCTTCCCCCTAAGTTCCCTGCTCATTGTCCTCTGTTAATCTGGGGCTCCTCAGAACAAACCGCACTCCCCCTGGGCAACGTGGGGGCCCCTGGCTGCGGGCCTGCACTGCTCTGCATGCTCTGCCCAGAGACCTCCTCAAAGGGGCTGGAAATGAGCTCGCCAGGCAGAGCGCCCCGCACCAGCCCCATACGTGGGTCTGCATGCGATTCTGAAGGAGGAGGCTTCTGAGCCCCAGGCTCTGGTCTCGGGCAGGAAGCAAGCCACAGGTGCTCCCGAGCAGCCTAAGTCAGTGACATGGATGAAGGTGGGGGGGCACCAGCATGCTGCTGGAGGGATTGTGGGGCACGAGAGGGTCTTCAGACAACAGGGCGCTGGGGAGAGGGCAGGGTTCCGGTCACCGCCCTGCCCCCAGGTCTAGTGTGGCACCTGGACGGCGCAGGTGCCCATCCAGCTCCCGAGTGGACTGGCCTGGCTGCCCTTCCTGTGAGCGGGGGCATCGGGAGCCGGGCTCTGGGCTGTGCCCCGGAAGGACAGGACTTTGCCTTCTCCGTGTTTTTTTCCGGTGGCGAAGCACCGAGCCTGGCTCAGCACAGGCTCCATAAATATTTGTGGAGCCCTAGCTGGTGTGGCTCAGTGGATAGAGCGCTGGCCTGCAGACCAGAATGTCCCAGTTTTGATTCTGGTTCAAGGGCACCTGCTCAGGTTGTGGGCTCCATCCCCAGTAGGAGGGGATCAGTGCAGGAGGCAGCCGATCAAAGATACTCTCTCATCATGGATGTTTTTCTCTCTCCCTGTCCCTTCCTCCCTGAAATCGATAAAAATATATAAAACGTATTGCTGGAATGCCAGGGTCAGTAGATGTCAGGGCCCAGGGAGGTAACGGGGTGTTCAGGGGAGAGCCCTGCTCTGAGCAGAGGGAGGAGGCTCCCAATGGCCAGAGGAGGAGGGGAGGGGTGGCGAGGGCACAGAAGCCTGGACGTGCCAGGCTGGCAGGGGGCTGGGGCCAAGGAATGTCGGTGACATCCCTTTCCTCCGCAGTGGTGCTCCTCCAGCGGCCTGTCTCTCTCCAGGGCTGCCCATCAGAAGGACCCGGGGAGCATTTACAACGCCCCAGAGCCTGCTCCGCACTCCCCGAGGTTCATCAGAACCTGGTGCTCCCCTTCCTACCACTCTAAAGAGCCACCCTCCGGGGGTTGCAGTGTGCGGTGCAGGGTGAGCACACACAGGCAGAGGCTGAGCAACAACAACAGGCCCGCAGAGGCAGAGGCGGTGAGGGTGGACAGGGTGCAGGGCAGTTCCAGGAACCAGGAGAGGAGCCTTGAGACTTCCCAGCCAGGCTCCGGAGGGGGAGGAGGAGCGGGGGAGAGGCCAGAGGGCCTTGGGGGCAGAGGGGCAGGTGGGCTTAGAAAGGGGGGCGGGGAGGAAGGGACTCCAGGGGCTCGCCAGGCATTAGGATGGGGGGGGGGGTCAGGATGGCTGAGATGCCAGGGGTCCCCGGATTTCGGCCGAGAGCAGATGCAACAAGAGAAGGGGCCAGGAGAGAGAATCTTGGGGCGCTGGTGGGGGCGGGAGCGCCGGAGGCTTCGGGGCAGGAAAGCGGCCCCCGGGGGCTTAGGAGCTAAGACCTGGAAGAAGAAGCCGGGGAGTTGCCCCCTAAGGGATGTCAGCGTGTAGCGCAATGGGACTCAGAAGAAGAAACTCGGAGGCCGAGAGGAGGGCCGCTCTGTCACCCCCAGGGACACGCGGGAGCCCACACGCACATACATGAGCGCGCGCACACACGCACACGCACCAGCACACACACGCATCCCCGTGCACGTACGCCCACTGCAAACCCCACTGCAAAGAGCAGAGGTCCAGGCCTCGCCGGAGAGGGAGGGAGGGATCCGCCGGGCCCCGCGCCCCGCCCCGCCGCCGCGCCCCTGCCCGGCCTTGCGCAACAGGCGGCGGATCCGGCGGGCGCCGGCAGCGGCCGGAGGAGCCGAGGTGGGCGCGGGCGGGCGGGGCGGGAGCGGAGCCGGGCAGGGGGTGTGTCCCCGCGGAGGGCAGGGCGGGCGGGGCGGGGCCGCGGCGCCTATAAAGGCTCCCTCCTCCGGGACATAAACAAACCTCGCCTGGCTCCCGCCTGGTCTCCGGAGGGCAGCGCGCACGCCCATCCTCGCTCTCGTTCTGCTCCGTCCTCCCCGCCAGCCCCGCTCCAGCTCCGTGGCCGCGCTCCCTCCGCCTGGGTAAGCCCCTGCCCTCCCGCCCTCCTCCTCTCGCCCGGGGAGGTGGGGGGTCCGTCGCCTGCGGGGGCTGCTGCAGCTCGGGGACCGCGCTTTGGGGTCCCCGGAGCTGCGAGCGCGCGGAGACCCCGGGTGGCGCGGGCGGGCGGAGGGCTTTGGGGCGCGGGCGCCTCCGGGGCGGGAGGCTCCGGATGGGGAAGAGGAGGGGACAGGGAGTCCCCGCGCTTCTTGCCTGTGGCTGGGGGTGCGGGGTCCCGGGGGTCTGGGAGGCGGCGGAGAGCCGGCGGGGAGCACACCTGGGCCCCCCTCCCCGAGGTCCTCCCGGAACCGCCGCCGGAGGGGGAGCAGGAGGGGGGCCTGGGGGTGGGGGCGCGTGTGCGCGGAGGGGGCGGGGGTCGAGGCTGGGTCCACGCCGGAGTGGGGTGTCTGGGGAAGGGAGGATGGTGCGCGCCCGCGTGTGTGGAAAGGGGGTGGGGAGGAGCCGGAGCGGAGGCTGGAGAAGGGGTGTGGGTGTGTCAGGTTCCCAAAAGGACGGAGGGAGCCAGAAAGGATAGGTCTCTGCAGAGCGGGGCTGGTGGAGCCTGGACGCCTGGGTGTGTGTATGTGTGTGTGTGTGTGTGTGTGTGTGTGCGCGAGAGAGAGAGAGAGAGAGAGAGAGAGAGAGAGAGAGTGTGTCTGAGGTGTGTCCCAGCTCCCACCACATGCGCAGGAGCCAGTGTGCGCGCGGCCGGGCGGGGTGCGCCCCCAGAGGTGGCCGGGGCTGGCGCCGGGGCTGGCGCTGGGGCTGCGCGTGATGGGTGCCCTGGCCCGGAGGGTCCTGCGGGCCCTGGTGGCCCTGTGCCGCCGGCTGGGTTTGGGTTAGGGATGGCGTCATTTTCGCCTCCACCCACCCTCCCCCGCTTTCCTCCTGTCCCTGCCTGGCCTGCCCGGCCTGCTCTCCAGGGGCGAGAACAGCTGGAAGGGCTCGCCATCCCGGAGCGCCTCCCTCCATGGTCTCTGGTTCAGCCCCGGGCGGGCAGGGCGTGTGCAGGGAGAGGCGCTGGCCCTGCCGCTGGCCCATGAGGAGCTGAAGCTGGGTTTTAGTGGATGGTTCTCTTAACCCACCCCACTCCATCCCTCTACCCTCACCTCCAACATATATCTCCCCCCCCTCCCCCCAGTTCTGCTGTCTGTCGCCTCTGCCTCTGCTGTCAGACACCCCTGCGGGCAGGGGCAGCCCCATCTGTGGCAGGGACGGGGGAGGTGCCCGGCAGCCGGTGTGGGCAGTGGTTAGCAAGGCCCAGACCAGCTCTTCCCAGATGGCTGGGCACTTGAGTTTGTAGGGTGCCATTGTGGATCCTCGGGAAGATAGACGGTTCTCAGAGAACCCGAGCGGGGGCCCACACAGGAGGGCTTCAGTCCCCTCATACCTCCTCCCCCCCCCCCCCCCCCCCGGCCCACCGTACTGGGCTTCTCTTGGCCACCTCGGAGGCACACGTATCTACATGCACACCGCCGTGCTGTGAAAACCCAGGTTCAAGGCCCACCGCCCCGCCCCGCCTGCTCCTGCAGAGAAATGCTGGCATCTCTACCAAGTTCCCCGAAGGCAAATAGGAATGAGCAAGGGCGGACAGAGCCAGCCCAGCACCTGCCTGCACCGGGCTCACAGCCAGGGGAGACGGGGGTGGGGGGCGGCACAGACCACAGGTGCCCCCTGCTGGGGTGGCACAGGCTGGGGGGCGGGGCGGGGAGAGTCAGGACTTGTGAGACACCCCCAGAGGAACAGTGGTCGGTGTCAGGAGTGAAAGCCGGGTGCGCCTGACCTGTGACCTCCGGGATGAGCTGCGGGAGGGGGAGGAGGAAGGCGGTGCCGGCTGCGCCCTGTCACCTGTCACCTGGCGCCTGGCGCAGGGCCTGGCACGGGGGAGGGGCTCAGGGTCTGGGTGCCCAGGTGGTCTCTGCGGACAGGACAGCCCGTGGTTGGCTTCTCCGGGGACAGCCAGCGAGGCCAGGCCTGCCGCCTGCTGCTTGGATCACTCGGAAAGGAACCACGCACTCCCCCCGGCGGCTGGTCCCCTTCTCCCCATGTTACAGTTGCAAACTGAGGCCCAGAGACAGGGAGCCACTCGCCAAGGCCCGGGTAGCACTGGAACCGCCTCTCCAGACCCCGCTCCTGTGGGGATTGGGGTGAGGGGGGGGGGGCGGGCAGAGGGTCGGAGTGCCACCAGAGTGTAGAAGTCAATCGGATCTCGAGGAGTTTCAGGTGAGGGAACGGGCCCGGCGGTATGCGGGCGGGTTTCGTGTGTCTACGTGTGTTCAGGGCACATCAGGTGTGCTTGAGTCACGAACAGAAAGCCGTCTGACCAGTAAGAGCGCCACATGCCTCCCCCCTCCCTCCCATGCCACCCGCCCGCCCTGAGGTGGCTGGCTGGGTCCAGGCTGCCCCCTCCAGGCTGGACTGAGGATCTGATCTGAGCTGGGGCCCCGGGGTGCCGGGAACCTCCCGCCGAGCTGCTTGGGTGCTTGTCTGATGGGGCCCGGCTCCAGGGAACCCCATCCAAGGCATGACTCAGTTCCCTGAGCCGCCCCGAGCCTGGGCGATGACTCAGCACCTAAGATTCTAGCGGGAGGGTCAAGGGAGGGGCAGGACATTTCTCTCCGGGTCAGCGGCCGCATCCCCTCGACCCTAATGTCTTCCAAGCGGCCCTGGTTCTGTTGGCTCCATTGAATGGATGAGCAGACCGAGGCCAGTGCATCGAAGGGACTCTGGCCTGCAGCCTGGGGCTCAGCGTGGGAGAGCCAGGCTTTGAACCCAGAGTTGGACCTGAAAACCCGTGTTCTTTTCCCTGACACGTGGGGGTGATTGGAGAGCTGCCCCTGGGGCTGGGGGGGGGGGGGGGGGGGGGGGGGGATGGGGATAGACAGGCAATTCGGGCCTCAGTGCCTCAGTGTCCTCCCCTGGAAATGAGACTCACACCCGCGGCCTCAGGGTGTGCAGTGATATCTGAGTTAATTCATGTTTAAGAGTGAGGACAGGGCTCCGTCTGTGGGAACACCACGCAGGCTTCTGCCAGTGATTCTCACACGTGACGTTCTCCAGAGGTCAGGGCCGGGGACCCGGACCTGTCCCTGGACCATGGACCTGGTGCCCTGGTTCATTGCAAGCTGGCCTTCCTGGCTGCTGGTCTCAGTCTGGTCCTGGCCGGGCCTCGTATTTGTGCCCTCTCTCTGCAGCTGACGACAGGACTGCTGTGGGGCGGCCTCTGGGCTCCCCGCCCTCTCCACACCGCCACCCAGCCCCCTGCCCCTCTCCACACCTCCACCGGGCCCCCTGCCCCTCTCCACACCGCCACCCGGCCCCTGCCCCTCTCCACACCGCCACCCGGCCCCCTGCCCCTCTCCACACCTCCACCCGGCTCCCTGCCCCTCTCCACACCTCCACCCGGCCCCCTGCCCCTCTCCACACCTCCACCCGGCTCCCTGCCCCTCTCCACACCTCCACCCGGCCCCCTGCCCCTCTCCACACCTCCACCCGGCCCCCTGCCCCTCTCCACACCTCCACCCGGCTCCCTGCCCCTCTCCACACCTCCACCCGGCCCCCTGCCCCTCTCCACACCGCCACCCAGCCCCCTGCCCCTCTCCACACCGCCACCCAGCCCCCTGCCCCTCTCCACACCTCCACCCGGCCCCCTGCCCCTCTCCACACCTCCACCCGGCCCCCTGCCCCTCTCCACACCTCCACCCGGCTCCTCCGCACCGCCGCCCACCCGGCCCCCTGCCCCTCTCCACACCTCCACCCGGCTCCCTGCCTCTCTCCACACCTCCACCCGGCTCCCTGCCTCTCTCCACACCTCCACCCGGCTCCTCCGCACCGCCGCCCACCCGGCCCCCTGCCCCTCTCCACACCGCCGCCCGGCCCCCTGCACTCTCCAGACGCCGTCCTGCAGGCGGGTGGGGTGCCCTCCGGTCCCCATGTTGCCCTCCTTGGACCATTCTGGGCTGTTTCTGTATCACCACCTTGGGCCCGAGGGCCTGGCACCGAGCAGACACTCCGCGTGGGTCAGAAGGAAACCTCCCCTCGGAAGGAAGGCCCTGGGCCTCCGTGCCAGGGAAGGTCGGAAGGCCCCACTGCGGGGAGGACGCTGTGGCCGTGGCCAGCGTCCCGTCTTGGGTCGCAGGGCTTGTAGGAAGAATCTGGTTCCGCTTCCTCCTCGAACACTGGCCCCGTTTGTGTGTCGTCCAGCGAGCTCAGGCTTGTCCCCGAGATTCGCAGAAAAACCCTGCCGCCTGACCCGTGTCCTCGGCTTCTGGTTACTACATGTGTCCCCTCAGGCCAGGGGCAGGAAGGGCCGTTTGGATATTTATAAACGTCATTTGAGGGCCATACAGAACTACCCACTTAAAAGCCAGTCTGCGATATCGGGTCAGACATTTCATTAACTCCCCCCTGATGCCTTGGCAGGGCCAGGCTACCTGGTTTCTGGGGCCTTATGTGGCTCGCCGGTTGGCGTTCCCCACCCCTGCCTCTGAAAGTCTGCCAAACAGATCATTCCTGCTACCTCCCGGCTGTGTGGCTCAGTGGGTTGAGCTTCAGCCCGTGCACCAAGAGGTCAAGGGTCCGATTTCCGCTTGGGGCACACGCCCGGCTGCCTACTCCGTCTCCCATAGGGGTGTGCAGGAGGCAGCCGATCCATGTTCCTCTTGCATAGAGGTTTCTCTCTCTCTCTCTCTCTCTCTCTCTCTCTCTCTCTCTCCCTTTTTCTCTCAAGTCGATAAAAACATATTTTAGAAAAAATGGTTCCAGCTGCCAAACCTCCACCGAGAAGGGGCCTGCAGGTTTCAGGGTGGCGTTGCAGAGAAGGGGGGGGGGGGCAATGATGACCGCCGACCCCCCTGCTTCCTGCTGCCTGGTCCCAGACCCTCGCCCGCCTCTCCGGGTGCCTGGCATCTGGGGATCACAGAGGAAGGCGGTGCCTGCTCCGGCCTTGCCCCGGGGGATGTGTGGTTGGCGGGTGCCTGCTGAG